TCTTGTTGTAGGACCATCGGATGAGGAATGCGTGTGGGTCACCGGCCGTTGGGTCCCAAGAATCACTGCCATTGCCTCGCTGCGTGCAGAGTCGTTGGCCGCCGTTCGTGGTCACTGCTTGCCGGAGAAGAAAGCTGAGTAGATGGGCTGGCGGCTACCAAGAGGGAGAGGAAGAAAGAGATCCTAGGGCCTCTTGTTTTTGTTTTCTTTATTTTATTTTCTCTTCTTTTTTTCTTTTTCTAAAAAGAATAGATTAAACCACATAATAAGGCTAATGATCCAAAAATGAGAGGAAGAGATTTTGCTAATCTTTTCCCAAAATTAAAACCCAATTAAAATCCTAAAAGGATAAGCAAATGATCTAAGAGATTAATTTAAATTATAAAACCCAAAATAAGATCCAAAATGGAGAATTAAATCTATAAAACTTTGAGTCAAGATTTAATTAAAAATCTCTTTCCAAAATTCGAAAACTTAATTTATCTAACTCCTTGAAAATAAACTTGATTCTAATTTACCCAAAATTAAAACTCCAAAATAAGAAGATCAAATAATTTAAACTATCCAAATAGGATGAAATCTAAAGGACCATATTAAACCTTAAAATACACTAGCCAACGAACGCGGTGTTACAAAAATAGAACTTAACTCTCCTATCTAGTCGAAGAAAACCACCCCGAGCAACGAAATTAAACTACTGAAACCATCATTTCAACTGAAAGAGTGTTTAAACAAAACAATGACAATTTTCAACTAAACCTCCTCCTAACAACAATTCCAATAAAAAATGTCCTATCAACAAAAGAATAACGAATGTTGCGCCTCTGCTTAACAGCTAGAGGGTAGAGTGCAAGTGCACACTGTCATAAGTAATAATATGGAAGTATTCCAAGTTCGTCTCTATAGGGACTAGTTTTATTTTAAAATTGAATTTGTAAAATGCTTGGATGAGCAATCGGGGTTGTGATAAATATTGGTGAAATTGGTTGAACACGAAAAACACACCAAAATAATAGAATCTAAAAGGCCAACCCCCTACTACTGTTTAGTTCTAAAATGATGAATTACACCTACCAAATGTGTCCATAATTACGCTCAATTTATGCAAACTAATTCAACTCCTATTCCATACCGCTTTTTGTTTGTTTAGAAATTTAGGCTAGCGTTTACATATGTCTATGTAACTTTAGAATGTTAAATAAATTAAATGCTAACTTACATTTAATGGGTAAGAGAGCATATGTCTAGGATCTTGTTTTAGTTCTTATTTCTAAGTAACTTCCCGTTTTACCTTGATGAAATCCGTTTGACTCTAATCTTTTCATAATTAAATTTCAAATTAATGTGATTTAACAAGTGGCCAACAAAAAAATCAATTGGATAAATTATATCAATCAAGATAAGCCAAATGAGCATAATACGCCGTTCTCGCTAATAGATGTAATTTGAAACGATAAGAACTAAAGCATTTGTAGGAGGGTTGAAAAATTAATTTAGCTACTCATGGAATTAAAATAAATGCAATAGCAAAAGAAGATATCAAAAGAATGCATTTTCATTGAAATCGGGGAGGAAGAACACAATTAGAGTAACTAGAATTGCGATAAAATAAGCAAGGAATAATTGTAAAAATAATAAAGGAAGAACAAAACTTAAAGCTGGAATTAAAACTTAAAAGCTAAAGTTGACATGAATTTAGAAAGAAAAACCAAAGCATGAAAAATGAGATGTGTTGAAGTGATGCTTGGAGGCTCCTTTTATAGGTCATGGAAGTAACAATGATTTGAGAAATTCAAGGGAAGTTGGCAACCACTAGTTGTTGTAGAGATATTAGGAGTAAAACCAAATCTTGGACCAATAATTTGGTCAAAAGTTGTTATTCTCGTTTTGACAATCTATGTATCGAATGTGGCTGGCGCATCCCTCTAATAATCTGGAAATTCTTGGCGTGCGATGTGTCTGACGCATTGCAGTCATCAATTTTCAATTTTCCTTACAAAGTAAACAATTTTCATCAATTAGACTCTATCTGTTTCTAACTGATTGCCTAAGTCCTTAATAACAAAATATGCACATTTTCCATGAATTATATGTATTAAGATACATTTTTCATCATAATTAACTCCAAACTAAGCATGTAAAACTACTCTTTTTAGCCTTTAACCAAGGGTTATCAACGAACAACATATCCTATGAACAAGAAACGAATAACGAAGCATATGGTCCTCCTCTGTCAGATCTCCTCCTCATAATCACCATGGTCATAAACCTGTTATTCACCTAAGAATAATATTTGCAGAATGGGGGGGAGGGGGTGAGTATAAAAATACTCCGTAAGTAGTCTTGACTAACTACGTACAACCAAAATGCTCAGAAACACAATATTAAAATCAACAATCATGCTTCAATAGGACATAACGAACAAACAAACACAACAACATAGATTAAAGGTACATAACTCCAATGTACCCGGAGCCTCGACACCTAGTAGTGACAGATCAGCCCTCGACCATTTGCACTCGAGGCTCATATTGTCAAGGCATTGACAGACCACTGCCACCGCTCCTCGTCGGGCCACTTTCTCCTTAGCATATTCCCTTGTCCGTTGGTGAACCTCCTCCTTAAGCCGGATAACAGTAACAACGAGTTCCTCCTTGCTCATGGTGTTGACGTTTGAAGGACTGTGGGGTTTGGTATATTGAGGATCCTCGTAACATTCGTACTCCCAGTCGTCCAACGATTCGACCTCAGAGGGATCCTCCTCCTCCTCCTCCTCCAATTCCTCTGCCTCTTCCGGCTCCTCCTCCTCCTCCTCTAGGTTCTCTTCCTCCATCTCCCACTCCTCCCCCTTGGATCCTCCTCCTCTTCCCCCTTTGATGGATCTTCCTCAATTGAGGAAGGGTCCCTCTCAGAGGGAGTGTCGACACGAATGCGATCTTCTACAGAAACAACTGACATGATTGCTAAGTGCATGGAGTAGAGTAAGGATGGAATCATAGTGATACCTGTTCCGAATTTAAAGGGGACAAGGGCGAACCCCAATTGTGGGATCAACCGTCAACATGGCGCTTTGAGGGAAGGGCCCCCCATTCCATTAAAACACGAAACGACGCATCGTACTACAAATAAGATTAACCTCGAGACACATGTGGCATCATGACAAAACAAATACCGAAACGACGGTTGTTGCGCTGGCAGGCCAAAGCCTAGGCCCAGCCCTTCCTAAAATGGCAATCAATACGTCGCGTTGTACCGAAGTGTCATGTTGCCCCTGCACCACTCTTCGCCTTTGGGAACACTCAAAGTTCCAAGGCTTTCCATCAAGCCAAGGATGCCTGCACAGCTCCCACTTGCCAGCGAGCAAGCCTCAGGAGAACTGATGTTCCAAGGCCTCTAGCTTCTAGAATAGTGGACACGGCCAAGCCTCCCACTCGGACGTTTTAATCGCCTTAAAAAATACTAAAAATTCCAAGGTTTCCCCCGAGCCAACGACGCCTCCATGGCTCCCACTCGGCGGTAAGGAATCCTCTGGAAAACTGATGTTTCAACTTCTCATCCCGAGCAGTAGACCTAGATAGGGCTCTCATACGGACATTTTCCTTATATTAGAGAATGCTCAAAATTGGAAGGAAGAGTAAGGGGGAAGTCACCACTTCCCCACTCACTTCTCCACTCCCCACCAAACCTTCCCCATTTCCACCATTAATGGTGGCAAGTGAGAGGTTTTCCTCCTATTTTCTTTTTCATTTTCATTTTCTTTTATTTCTTTTATTTTAATTAAAATAATTTTACTTAAAATAATAATTAATTAAATCTATTTTAATTTAACCAAATTAATATATCACATTCGTTTAATTAATTTAATTAAATTAAAATTAAATTAATCAACTATATTAGAATCAAATTCTAATATACATCTCTCTCATAATTTTGAATCCAATTCAAAATTAACTTTATATTATAATGTATCAACATATATTATATTAATTGCATCTGATACAATTAACATTAATTTCCTTTAATGAAATTAAACAATTCAAAATATTTTCAAGACTAAATGTTCTAACTAACCTTTACGAGTTAGCAAGGGGACCTAATGGACCTACAGATCAGAAGCTCCAACAATACGAGATTAATTGATTAAACTCATTAACCAAATTAATCAACATTTGTTAACTATCGATCATTCCACTAAAGACCCACAGCTGCATTCTTCTCATTGTAGAATATTTTACGTCCACAGATTTTTACCATTAACGGTAAGTTAATCCTTCACCAGTGTTCGTAACCACAGTGTTATGGTTGACTTTTTACTGTAGAAACATGTGTCGGTAGCCCTGTTTGACCACGTTTTTTACCCCTTTCCCATTATTATTTGCCAAAAAGGATCACATATTTTTAAAGTAGAACATGCATAGATTATTTCTGCATAAAAGTCAAACTATGGTACTTTAGGAAAAATATGAGATAAATGCGGTCAAAATTGGAAGAAAATAACAAAATTCTGTTTTTGCAGAATTTCACCTAGCGCATTTTTGGAGGGCAAATTGTTAAAACGCACATTTTGATTAATGAAGGGCAAGGATGACATTTCCCACATGTTCAAAACCGTGAGTTCAAGTCCAAGTGAGGTGGTTAGGTGAATCTCAACCCTTTTTCCACCTAAAATGGAGGGGAGTTTCAACCAACCTATGGTGCTATAAAAGGGAGCCATCGATCCAGCAGAATTTCATCTCTTCCAAGTTTCATTTCATCTTCTTTTAGATGCTCTCTAGTTGTAGAACACGTTTTTAGGGTTTATGTTCATGTTCTAGTTATTCATTTCCTCGTTTTTCACACTTTTACCTTTCGTATTGCTTTTAATTCGAGTTCTTACTTTCGTTCTTTCTTCATTCTGTTATTTTAAAGTTCTTTAGCGAGTTTCAACTCCCCTCACGCTCGAGAGAGAAGAGGGTCAAGCTAGAACTCCTTGTACGTCTTATTTATTCATTTAAATTCAATGAAAAATACTTTCTTTATGTTTACGTGCATTTACTTTCATTTAATTATGTTCTAAATTAGTTATCAACCTCCTTGTGGAATGCCTTAGTCAAATGATTTGATTTTCAACACACTCGGGATTTTGGCCAAACTGCACCTGGCACTTTTTTGGGTTGGTTTCTAAAAACTTCTCTTTATGTCTTTTCTCCATTTGGCCAATGGGAACTTGATTTATACACCAAAGCCCAACCTTGGGAATGGTGAGTTAGGTATAATAATAGGAAACCAATATGGGATGTGAGTTAGGAATAAGCGCATAAAACATGGTCCTAGGCATAGGCCCTCTGACCCATGATGCAAATGAGTTGATAAATATTCTCTATGATTGTAATCACACATAGGAATATGATTGTAGGTTACCCTAGCCTCTGCAACAACCAAAAGTGGTAGTGAAAGAGTAGAACTCAAATCCCAAGAAAAGTCAGGAATTGCGTCTGGTGCATGTTCCCAACATAGTGTGTTTTCCATGTTCTGCATCAAAGCTACGGTAGGAGACAAGAAGGTTGAGTTTCATTTAATTGCTTGTTAGTTAAAACCCCAAACGACAACATTTCATCACATTTGTCTTCCTAAATCACAATTGCATATTTGAACCATTTCACTGCATTACTTGATTTTGAAAAGCAACAAGTCCCTGAGGATTCGACCCTAGATTACTTCCAAGTATTACTTATGACAGTGTGCGCTTGCACAAGTCTCTAATCTTTCTAACGGTAGAGAAAGCCCCAACACACATTGTTTTACCCCTGTGTTACATATTGTACCTGAAGTACCACTGATCCTCTAATGAACAACCTTGTTATGGTCCAACCAATAACCGGAATCCCTCTCGGGCCAGTGAAATGGTGGGGCCCCTTGTTCAAGTCTCAGAGTCAGCACATAAGAGAACACTCATCTACTTACCCTAAAGTTAGGAATGAGTGAATTCCATCCCAACCGCCTACTCAGTCTTGTCCCCAAAATGGTAGGGATATTGAGTAAGTGACTCGGACCACTCTCACACGTACAAATCAAAGGATGAGCCATAATAAGCAAGAGTTCATAACTCACTCGGGGTTGAGATCGAGTTACCTGGTCATCCTATTGAAATATTAATCTATTAGCTAACGGTGTTACAGCTAAAGATTAACTATTTCGTGGTTCGGTCTTATTCAAACTCATTGTATAGGATACCCCTACTCGCATATCTTCACACGAACGACCTGGATCAAGTCATTTGTAACTATTACAAAGTGGGACATATCCACATTGTTATCAGGATAAGGTACCTAACCTTATCCATATACGATAGACCCTTTAGGTTACTACTGGAACATTATCCACCTGTATATCGAATATATACTGTATATATATACACTGTATATCAAATATAGACGTTGTATATTGATATATACTGTATATCTGTTATATATTGTTCCAGTTACATGACATAACCTCAGATGTTAGTTTATTGGATTTGGGTTAATGCAATTCTATTAATAACAACTTTATTGAATGAATATTTGTTTTATGTTTAAAAACCACGAGTTTAAGGCATAAAACCCAACAAACTTCCACTTGAACTAAACTCTAGTGGTGTGTACAAAAGCTAAAGGCAACAATAGGTTGTACAATAAAGTACAAATACAATAAACTAGGGCATACACTACACCTTTCACAAGTCTCCCACTTGCCCTAGGCTATATTGTACGTATCTCGTAGCTCTGGACTTTCTAGACCGACCTTTAACTCTTTAGTTGTATGAGTCTTTGTAAACGAATCAGCAATTTGCCACAACATCAATATTATCACAATAAAATGTGATGGGCAAAGTCATGTTTGGAACAACATCCAAATCAATTTAAGAACTTTCTAAGCCACACAGTCTCTTTTGCTGCTTCACAAGCGGCAACATATTCAGTCTCCAATGTGGAGTTTATGATGCATCCTTTGTCTGATGCTCCGTCATACTCCAACTTCTGCATTAAGAGTGAACACTGACCCTAAATTGGATTTCCTCAAATTCTTATCACTTTGGAAATCAAAGTATGTGAGTCCTGTAAGGATCAAATCCTTAGTGCCATACACAAGCATATAGTTTCTCATTCTCCTAAGATATTTGAGGATTACCTTTGTTGGGTGTGTTGCCCTAAACTCGTAGTTTTTATTGTGTAAAAGCAAATGTAAATTCAATAAAGTTTTATTCAATAAATTTTTTGTTGAATTCATAGCATTGCATTGTCCAAAATCCAATAAACTAAACATCCGAGGTTATTTTAGTGTAACCGGGACAGTATATGTATTGGGTATATATTTTATATACCCCTGATATACGAGGTATATAGTTGATATACCCTGATATACAAGTGGATAATGTCCCGTGAATAACCTAAAGGGTCTACAGTATGGATAAGGCTGGGTACCTTATCCTGGCAACAATATGGATACGGCCCACTCTGTAAAGGTTAAAGACGACTTGATCCAGGTCGTTCGTGTGGAGACATGCGAGTGGGGGTATCCTATACAATGAGTTTGTATAAGACCGGACAACGAAATAGCCAATCTTTAGATGTAACACCGTTAACTAATAGATTGTTGTTTCTTAGGATGACCAGCCAACTCATTCTCAATGCTGAGTGAGTTATGGACTCCTGCCCATGAAGGCTCGTCCTTTGATCTTAATGGGTGAGAGTGGCCCAAGTTGCCGATTCAACATTCATACCATTTTGGGGACGAGACCGAGTGGGGAGTTGGGACCATAACTTCACAAGATGGAATTCACTCCTCTCCGACTTTAGGGGAGTAGATGAGTGT